CACCCTGGAGACAAGGCTCGCGGTCAGCGGCGACGCGCTGGACCGCCCGGCCGGACCGCCGCGCCGGCGGGTCTGCCGGCGCGTCTGCCGCGGGGTCTGCGCGGGGTCTGTCGCGGGGTCTACCGGCGCGTCTGCCGCGGGGTCTGTCGCGGGGTCTGTCGCGGGGTCCGCCGCGGGGTCTGTCGCGGGTCTGCCGCGTCACCTGTCCACGCCTCACCGCGGGACTGTGTTGGACGGCTCCGGCACGCCGCGAGGCCCGGTCTGGTCGAGACACCGCGCCCTACACTGGACCATCCACGTTCCGTCGACGCTTGTCTTGCTCGCCACAGCGGTACACGCTGGACTGCCGAGTCTTCCACGCCTGCGCTATCGGTCATGGCGACACTAGCGTGACAACTGACGGTCCACGAGCCGCCACCCGTCACAGTAACACGGCGTACCTCCGAGGGGCTCTCCCACACATGACGGATCCAGTACGTTAAAAGACAATAGCGCGGTTGAAGCATTCGACGCGGTCAGCCCGTAGTGTCCCGGTCGGCCCCCGACCCACGCGGCCAGCCCGGCCCTCGACCCACGCGGCCAGCCCTGCTTCTGACCCACGCGGCCAGTCAGGCCCCCGACCTACGCGGCCACCCCGGCCTCCGACCCACGCGGTCAGCCCGGCCCCCGACCCACGCGGCCAGCCCGGCCCCCGACCCACGCGGTCAGCCATGCTTCCGACCTACGCGGCCAGTCAGACCCCCGACCCACGCGGCCAGCCCGGCCTCTCACCCACGCGGCCAGCCCGGCCCCCGACCCACCTCTGCGCGCTGTGTGGCCGGCGTGAAATGCGGACTCTTGTCATTGGAGTCGATCACCATCACGGAGAGCGTGGCGGTGCCGGTCTGGGCCGGCGAGCCTGCGCCGGGCAGAGGTCACACACGGGTCAGAGGTGCGGTCAGTGCCGCTATCAGCTCACCACACCGGCGCAGAGGGCTCTCAGGCAGACCTCCTCAGCGCTCCGACGGGTCGGCATGGCACGAGCTGGCAGCGTCGTTTGCACGGGATCTAACGAAACCTGAAATCCCTTCAATTTAATTCAAGCTCACGCCGTCACAAAATCCCCTCTGAGCGTTTCTACCATGCTTGCATCGGGTTGCCCCATTGCAGAGCCTGCCTACTCTATCTCAGGTCATACCAGATACACTGCACCGTCCAACTTGAAATGCACCGTCATGTCGCAGCCACCGCTAGACAAACACGCCTCCAGCGCTGATGAAGCCAGGCACGTCACCATACAGCCTCGCCAGCCGCGCCGGCAGGCAGACGAGCCGGGCTGCCCCGGCCGGCCGTCGCACAGCGCGCCCTGCCTCCCGCCCAGCGTCGAGCACCAGCTGTTGGACAGCGAGCCCTGCCTCCCCCCAGCGTCGAGCGTCGCTGACCTGCGTCCACGGCCAGCACCTCGATGGCGTACTGGGCGCGCCGCTGGTGGTCCAGCCGGCGCACCAGCGTCACCACGCCCGAGTCCGGCTCCACGGCGAAGTCCTCGTAGGCGCCGCGCTGCAGCCGGTACTGCACCCGAGCGTTGTCGCCCGTGTCGCGGTCCAGGGCCGTCACCTGCTTCACCACCGTACCTGGGGCGGAGTCGCCGACGGTCAGCAGGGACAGGCGGCGGCGCATGGGCAGACAGCAGGGCAGGGCAGGCGGAGCAGGGACAGATGGCAGAGCAGGAACAGACGACGGAGCGGAGGCAGACGGTGGAGCAGGAGCAGATGGCGGAGCAGGAGCAGACGGCGGAGCAGAGGAAGACGAAGGAGCAGGGACAGGCGGTGGAGCAGGTGCAGACAGCGGAGCAGGGGCAGACGGTGGAGCAGGGGCAGACGGCGGAGCAGGGGCAGATGGCGGGACAGGGGACGACGAAGGAGCGGGGACAGGCGGTGGAGCAGGTGCAGACAGCGGAGCAGAGGCAGACGGTGGAGCAAGGGCAGATGGCAGAGCAGGGGCAGACGGCGGATACGTGCAGACGGCGGAGCAGACAGACGGCGGGACAGGGGCAGATGGCGGAGTAGGGGCAGTCGGCGGAGCAGGGGCAGTCAGCGGAGCAGGGGCAGACGGCGGACAGGTGCAGACAGCGAAGCAGAGGCAGACGACGGGCAGGTGCGGGAGTCAGTGAGCGGGCAGGAGCAGGCCCCGGGTTGAGGCAGACAGTAGACAAAAGCGGATAATTAGCCAGGTCCCTCAGTGCAGAGGGCCGGATGTAACAAGACTTGAATGCTGGCAGAGAGCGAATAATTGGCACACAATTCGACTGCGGATGGTCATCAGAAGGAAGCCGGCAGGGCGCAAACAGAAGTCAGGTGCATTCGCACACCCACGTTTAGTCAATCGTTAGTAGAGCTTGCCAGACACCGGTGTTGTCGCCCAGGGGACCGGCGGGGGAAGCTCAGTCCCGAGGGGAGGGACGGCTGCGGCCGGTCGTCCTGGTGACATTGACCCGGGCGCCCGGCGACCGGCCGGTCAACAGAGGACGTGGCGCCACACTCGGGCCGCCGCCGGCCGCCGGCCGCCGGCCGCGGGGAAGGGAGCCACGGACCGGATGTAGACAGGCGTGCTGTGACGGGACATGGCGCCGGCTGGGCGGAGGCAGGCTGGCCAACTGTGGCACGGACCCAGCCGGCCAGCGTTCACAATGCAGTGTTGTCAGCATTTCCTGCATTTGCGAGTCATTCGACTGCAGTGAGATTCACTTGTTCCGCTGGAGTAGATCCAGTGCGGCGAGAAAGGCTAGAACAACATGATCTAGGACCACACGTCGATGTAGACGAAAGGAACGCTGGATCCCAGGGACTCAACTAAGCTATAAAAGTCCCTTTCGATAACTAACTATCCGTCCCTCCACCCCCGCCCCTCCCCCCCCCCCCCCCCCCCCCCCACCCCCCCCCACCACTTCGCCGGCCTCGGTGCCCTGGGTGCTCGATGCCCTGTTCCTCCCCCCCCTCCCCCCTCCCACTTCGTCAGCCCCAGATATCCTGAGCGTCGCGTCTCTGTCGTGCCCGATGTCCTGCCCCCCCCCCCCCCTCACCGCGCCAGTCCCCCGGTACCCTGAGTGCCGCGTCCCTGTCCCGCCTGCTCTCCTGACCACCACTATCCTGTCGAGGGAATGCGGCTTCACGTCCCCGATAACGATAACGATAACGCTGGTCTGACTCCTGTGACAAGCCCGCCCTAAGTCGAGACGGCGAGCGAGCGTCGCCACCTGACGCCACGTTATCGCGCCGACCGGGCGGCTGTGCTCACGGAGCCCCCCCCCCCCCCTCCCCCCCACTCCCAGCCTCACAGCGGGGGGTGGGGCAGCTGTGGTCACAAAGGCGGCCGCGCGGTGTGGCGCAACCGTACGGGAACCCCCAGCTTCCGCGCCTCTCTTCCCGAGCAGTAACATTCCATGGCCGTCCCAGTGGACAGAGAACGCGACCACCGGCAACCCGGGGTATCACCGGCGCACATTCAACGGATCTGGGACATGGACAGGAGCACCACGGGTGGAAGAAACCCTGCATCTTGGCGTACAATAAACGGCAGTGCCTCTCAGCGAGGGAAGCTCTGGTTTGATCCGGTTTGGCTGGGCGATCCCACTCTCGGGCGATTCACGATCTCCTCCGATCGTAACTGAGGCCGGAGTGGGGTGGGGGCTCCACACCTCAGCGCTCCGTCAAGACATGGCGGGCGTCGGGGCGGCGGACCCAGCACTGGGCGGCTGTGGCGCCGGCTCACGGCTGTCAGACCGTGCAGACTCGCCGCCACCCGCCCGGGAGCGTGACCGGCGGCGTCAGCCTCCCCACCCGGCCCCAGGGCCGCGTTCCCCATTGCCAATAGCTGTCCACAAGTTGCAACCCGTGACGTCAGAGGTGAGTGCGTCACAGCAGCCCCTGCGGCATAGGGGTTAGTCGCTTATGCATGATGTAGGTACTTGCGACGTCATAGGCAGCAACTCAAGTAGTTACTTTTCTAATGGGGAACGCGGCCCAGGTCAATGGCCTCACTGAACAGCTGAGCGGGCCGTGCCGGCGCAGCCCCTGCGGTCGGCCCGCCCCCGCCGACTGCTGGTCACTGGGTCACGGGTCGATTAGTCCACCTTCTGGCAGACATGACGTCACTGACCGGTCGGCAAAGTCTCGGGCAGCACGGCCTGGTACAGCTCCTTGGCGAACTTGGGCCGGTTGTTGTTGGTGTCCCTGATCTCCAGCAGCAGCGGCACCGACACCGTGTGAATGCCGTCCGTCACCTGCCCACACAGACGTCACAGCTACAGGCGCAGCACAGCGTCAGGGGCACAGGGGCACAGCTGCGACACAGACAACCGACAGGCGGATGTCAGGGGAGGAAGACATCTGTTACTAACATGACGAGGACATGAGACATTTCGGGGGCATGCAAGGAAAATACCACTGCTACACTGACACCGCGAACAGTCAAGTGTGGTACACCTACTGACTTCACACGTTTTTCAGGATATTGCGACTATATTTGTACAACAATTTGATGCGCATCGCCATTTTCAATAAAAGGAAAATGCAGTCAGAGACAATACTGAGATTATAAATCCTTTCAAGAGATCAGAGGACAGGGACGCCTCTCAAGTAATCGTAGCGAAGCCCAGCATCTCAAACTTTCGTAAATAGAGGAAATACCCCACAATGTGTTATGCCCTTCAACGTTGTCCAGCTCGTTTACCACGTTATTCAGCAGAGTCGACACCTTCGGTCTGCCACCGTATGTCACCTACACGTCAGCGAGCCGTCGAACCCGGACCACCGGACTACGCAGCGTTGCCAGTGCCGAGCCAAAGGAGGCTGATAACACGGCGTTCGATGTCTCGCCCATCCACTCCATCTAAGCCCCCTGGTCGCGCGGCTCTGTGCCCCTGCCCCCCCCCCCCCCCCCGTTCCAGCGACCCGGCCCGTCGCTGCCGCCTCCATGGCGCCCGGTGCCCGCCTTTGTCTGTCGTGTTTGGTGTGATGGCGTTCGGCGCCGGGTGGTGGGGTGTCCGCTCCCATG